CTTTGGAATAATGGATTCATCTCTGAAACATGGGTACAGTCTTTAAAGGGACTGGTGGTCCCTTTCACATTTGAGTGAATTCCTCCAGTCCCTGAGTTAGCAGAAAAACAAGCCAGTGTAATATGTGCTGCCCTGATGGCTGAGCTCTAACCTGCGTCAGCAAGAATGCTTGCCAGTGCTTCTGTCCTTGCAGCCTTACTATGAGACAAGTTAAAGGCAGGATTTAATAGATGTCTTTGGTGTTGTTTTCACTACCTCCCAGCATCAGTAGCTAGTCAGAAAAATCACCACCAATCACTCTCCTGAAAGTGTGATGGAGCAGGCTGGGCAAGCAGGTGCCTAGACAGAGGCATTAGCTGTAGTCAAGTTGCCTGAGTGACAGGTCACGTGGGCTCTTTCCGAACACAGGTCAACAGGTTGCTGGACTGGAGGAGGGCACTTACACAGTGCATTGAGACAGTGTCCTTCTGCCTCATCTTGGCCCAACCTTAACTTGTCAGCTGGGCAATTTTCGGACAAAAGCTTGCCAGTCTTCCAGAAGTCTGGTAAGCTTGTAGATGGATTTATCACCTTCCTGTCACTTGGGATAGAAGAGGAAACTGGCAGAACTCTTCTCAATTATCCTCCAGCTCCCAAATCAATAAGACCTATAAGGGAAGGGAGTGCTAGCAGTGAATGGACACAGTTAGCAGCACCCAGAAGTAGTATGCAGAAGTAGATGGAGTATGCAAAATGGCATTAGAGTAGGCGAAATAACACTGCCTCACTCCCAAAGTAATAAAAGCAGCAGAAAGCATAGCCATGCAAAACCCTTGTCAGCAGAAGCAGCAGAAAGCTTTAGTGAACTCGGGCAGAATCAGCAATATATACCTTTCCCAGTTTAAACAATTAGCAGATCCCATTTTTATTTATAGACAGGCTTACTGATCTTTGGAAAACTTCTGAACAATTATTTAATAGCAGGATAGGTCTAGTGGTCTACAGAACTGATATACCAGTGTATATAAGGAAGTTGTGTTATGCTTTGTTAAATGTGAGTCAGGTATTACATGAGCAGATGCTTCTACAGAAACCAGGTGTTATGTTTTTCCTGCAGCCCAAAGCAAGATAGCCATGGAGGGTAGTGCCTTGACCAGAGGTGAAGAAGTAAGCCTCTGGCAATCAACTGGCCAACAGAAGTTCTGAAGATGCCAGCTCCTGACTGCATCATTGCCAGATTTGTGAATGAGCCATTGCAGATTCTTCTTAAGTCAAGATATGTTGGAAAAAGGTAGAAGACACTACTTTAAAACTGGAACAGCTAAGGACCAATTTAGGGTGCCTCCATGGTAGGCTGGGGATAATCAAAAGCTGCATCATAAAGACACATCTTCTAAAATGATTTGTGAGGCATTCTTATGGGTGAGGATGAACCTGGAGTGTGTTTTCTAGTACAATTCTTTTTCTTTCCCAAAAGATAGGAAATAAAATTGTAGTTCAGATCTACTTGTATCTCAGATCTTGCAGACCCCTGCTGTTACATGCTTATTTGGGGAACAACAAGATATGTTGTTCTGAAGATTAGGTTAGTGATGGATCATGTAAAACTGTACTGCTAAATCCTCCATGTGACTCAAGATTAGTTTTTAAATAATCCCTATTTGTGTTGTCCTTCAGAAGTAGCCACTGCTCCCTACAAACCTTGTCCTGACATACCTGATTATTCGTTTTCAAGCTGGTTATCCATTATCATCTGTGCATGTGTTATAAAGGTAGCCTGCAAGCTGACATCGCTGCTATGCGTGAACCCATTTGTGAAGTAATCATTCCACAAGAGAAGTAGGTGAAGGGGAACATTTATAGGATGGCAACCTTGCAGGGTGGGGGTGGAGTAGATATGGCTCACAGATCAGATATTGGCAGCTTCCTCTTTATTGCTTTAAAGTTGCAGTCCTTAGAGAGCTACCATTGTATCTCAGGCAGCCATTAGTGAAAAGGATTTTCAAAATGTGCTGTGCATTTTTCCAAGCGAAGATCAGGCCCAAAGACTCTCTTTGAGGACTGTGCTGTAAATGCCTGCAGACCTCGCTGCAGCATTCATCCCGCCTCAGGCCTTTCCACTGAGAGAGTCTCTTGCATTAGTCAGAATGGAATATTCTGGAGAGAGTGCTGTTTCACCACCCAGGCAGCTCTCTTTTTCCTGTTTGTCCTGTAGCGGCATTAAAGCATCCTCTTAATTACTCATTCTGTTCTGCCTAAGTAACACCTGCTATGCCAAGCTCCTTTCCAATCCTCCCCATACTCTCCCACATGGATATTCTTAGAATTTTCTTATTTTCAGGCAGGTGCTGTCATCAGAAGAGCATTTCAGAAAAATCTCACAAGGTGATCCATGATTCTCCATGACAGAGAATATTCCTTTTGTTTCCAGTAGCTCGGCACTGCTGTGCCAACACTGATTAGCTTAAGGCCTTTAATATTTAATTAACTTACAAGATCCATTTTCTGTAAAGCTTCAGACTCATTGGAGGCTGGCAAGGAGTTGGCGGGGGGGGGGGGCACTGCCTTGAGAAGAATGAAATAGGCAGCCTCTAATGAAGCTTACATTAATGATAAACTCGGAAATAACTGCTGCCTGCAAAATGTTCCTTTGGATCACATCCTAAGCTACTGCTGTATCCCCAAATCAGTGCATTCATGTTGAGGGTCTGGAGGGAGTCCTAAAAACAATATAGAATGTCAGAGATGAATCCAAATCGAAGGGCACTGTCCCCTTGAACCCAGGGCCCACTTGGAAAGGCCTGAGTACTTTGTTCTATAAGCAATAGACAAGCATCCTGAAGGAAAGTTTTGAGCAGGACAAGCAGACTGAATTGAAAGCAGGCTGCACATAGCTGCTTCTTCAGCAGAAATGAATTAAAATAAAACAGTTAAAAAGAAGCTGGTAGTCACAAACTCGGATTTCTTACAGCACAAGCTTGTTGCCTAGGGAAAA